CAAAAAATATTTTATGAGTTAGTTATAATAAAATTTCACATCTAAATTATGTATATCAATATGATCTCTTATTTCTTATGCATGATAAATATAAGAAAAAGACATGAAAAGTAGTATTACAAATTATAGATATGACTAGCAAATTCAAGATAAGTATTCCTCTAACATCAAAGAATAATTCTGAAGTTGCTAAAGCATTTAAGAAAATTTATGATAATTCAAATAATTCTCTTATGTATTTGATATTTCTATAATATGATGATAGTAAAGAATTTGTGAATGAAACTGCTTGATTAATAAAAGTATATAATATCATAATTTGAGTAATTAGTATTTATAGTCATCGTGAATTAACTCTTGTAGAATAATTTAATAAGATATTAGCAGAGATGCTTTATAAAATCCAGTATACTGTCAAATCAATATCTAAAAATCCTAAATTAATAAGAGAGTGGATCAAGTATTTGTCAGAAGTAATAGATTATCTTAATAATTATTCAACACATCTTATTCAAGCTTTAGATTCATCAAAATAGGATTTAGTTCTAGCAAAAGCTATTAAACTGAAATAAGTAGAATTTAGACCATCTACAAAGTATAAGTATTCTATTGGAAAGGATGAGAAAAATAAGTTAAAAAATAAGAATAGTGTTTATTACCTACTTGCTAATGTAAAGTAGAAAGAAGATATAGAGAATTAGAAAAGAGCTACAGATCCCGTATAAAGTTTTTCATAACATAAAATTTGCAAAATCATGATAATAAAGAGTAAATTAATTTTATATTATTTCAGAAGTGATGATGATGAATATCCTCTAAAGTAGAGATTTATATAAGAGGAGCTTATGTATATAGATCTAGAAAAACTTCAGTATCTATCTTAAAGTATATTAGAAGAAAAAACTCATTTTTGATCTATTAATTTTATTTGTATTATTAATAAAATAACTAAGACTAAAGAATATATAAAGAAGCATAATAGAAAATATCTTGATAAAACTGGCCAAATAAATAATTTTAATATATATCTCTAATCTTGTGAAAATAGAAAATATCAGTAGGAATATTCATATTTATTAATAGCTACAAAATTTGAATAGTATCCCCTATATTATCATACCTATAAAAGAAGTTATTAATATATTTTTAAGGATCTACTAGATAAAAAATTTCTACTATACACATTAAAATTCTTGGATGGATTGAGACTTGATGGATATAATGAAGAACTAAAATTGATGTAGGAGTATAATAGAGTTCAATATTTTTATCATAATAGTTTATATTATAAAAATCAAGATAACTTAGATTCACAAAGGGCATATAATCAAAAAAAGTGAGATATATATGCTTGAGAAGGTATAGATCTTATTTATATCCCATTTGATTGTGACTTATTTTCCTATATTAAATATATATTAATCAAAAAAGATTATTTATCAAATATAAAATAAATTTGTAAATATAAATATTAATATTATATATTACTAGAAGCAATTACTTTGCAGTTAAATTATATTTACTAAACTTATCTAAAATATTAATTGAAATTTTCTTGAATTTAACTAAAGATAGATCATTATATCTAATCTTGTTTGTCAATAAATTTTGATATTCATGTGCAGAGCCAATTATCTGGTATTATGTAAAGTTTGATAAAAGAAATCTAGTATAATTTGAAAAATTCAAGAAAATGATACATGAAAATTAAAAATCTCTTTACTGTTTTAAGCTATTATGACTTGTTCTTCATGAATATAGAATTTTAGATAAAACTTTAATCAAGATTACCTGTAAAACTTCCAGATTATAATATCTCATTTTTGATAGTTGGGAGAGTTTTTCTTATAATTTGATTGCTGATTCTTTAAAACTATGATCTAATATGAGACATTTCAAATTTGGTTTAAACTCAACTAAAAAGAAGTTTTTAGATAAATATATTTATATTGATAACAGAATACTTTATGGAATTACTAACCAAAATCTGGAATATCTAAATCTTGATTCTTTTAAGCTCTCTGATAAATCTTTAAGCAAAATTACTAATTCATGTTCAAACTTAAACTATCTCAGTCTGGAATACAATAAAAATATTACTAATATATTTATAATTGATATTGCATATTTCTGTCCCAAACTATATTATCTTAGTTTGTGATATTATAATATTACAGATAAAATATTAAAAGTAGTAACATATTCCTATTCTGGGCTCTAATATTTGAACTTGATATTTTGTATAAGAATATCTGATATGGGAATTTGTGTGATCGCTACTTCATGTTAAAATATTATAAATCTTTCTTTTGAAAGTTACAAAGTGAGTGATATATCAGTTAAAAAAATTGCATAATTATATTCAGAATTTTGATATCTCAATCTTAATTAGTGTTATATAATTGATGAGTCTATCTGTAAAATAGCAAGATCATATCTAAGACTAGAAGTGCTACTTCTTCTAAATAGCTTTATTAGTAATATATTAATTTATGAAATTATTTGATCATGTAAGAATCTATATAGTCTTGATCTCAAAAAATGTTACTCTATTACTAATAAGACAATTGATATTCTTATAATTAGCAATCCAAGCATTGATATTAAAGAGTCTTAAGTGATTTATTATGTCACATTTATTAGACTGGCTATTACATAAGGTAAAAAATCAGATAAATATATATATAATAATAAGAATCAATATTTTTTCAGATATAATAATTGAATGATATCTGATTTATCTATATTTTAAAGGTGAATGATCTGTCAATATATTTTAAGAATCTGTTAGATAAGAAATATTCATCTTATAAACTATTATTTTTGAATAGGATATAATTATAGTTATAAAAACTTTCAAACCTGAAATTAAATTCCAGATAGCTTCTTATCATGGAAATATAAATATAATATATGCGAAAGATACAAAATAATCAGAATAAAAACTGGATCTATATATTTTTAATATATTAATAGTATTATTTATCTTGATTAGAATAAAAGATAAAGATATGCTTATATATATATATAATATTAATAAGATATCTAAAAAGTTATCAGAATAAATGAAGAGTAATAAGTATTCATCAGACTATCTATTTAGGATACTTATAAATGGAAGCTTAAATAGTAGAAAAACTAATATAGGAATAAATCTCATACTTGATAACAAATTACAATGCATGTTTAATGAAAAAAAAGATGATTGGTATATTAAAAATGATAATTTTAGATTAGTAGCCAAATATTTTGAATCAAAATGGTAACTTATATAAAATAGCTATCAGATTTTTGTAAATACTCCAAAATTATATTAAGAAGATGTTATATTTAAATGAATATTATCAGATAAGATTCCAGATATAATTAAATTCTTTTCAGAATGAAGTATAGTTATTGTTTTTAAAAATCTATATGCTGAATTCCAAAAAGTACAAGAATGAATTATTTCTTACTTTATTAGTGACCAGCATTAAAATATCTCATTCATATATGTAAGTCAGAAATATATTCAAATTCCTAAAATTATCCATGAAAATATCTCACATTTATATCTATTTCAGAGATCAGATAGTAGAGATGATATTAGTAGAATCATATATTAATATACAGATGATTCAAAAAAGATATCCAAGATTATTGATAAGTATTTGTAGAATCAGAAATTTATGGTTTTTGATTTTACTAAGACAGTAGATGACTCTTTAAGTATACAGCTTGGTTGGGATACACTCCTAAAATTAGATGAATAAATCAAGATTTTGACATTCAAATAATTATTTTTTCTGTTATTTATTAATACAATAATATAATATATATCTTATTAATCACTTCTATTAAGAAGCTAATCATTTCTAGCTGATATGAAATTTAAGTAGATGTGTAATAATAACAAGCACAATCTATTTTCTACCTAGAGATTTTTGTAATTCATAAAACAGGTTGATATAAAAAAATTAAAGTAAAAAATATTTGAAAAAAGATATATATCATTATCTACTGTTTGTAACATATTCTGTAACTACTTTTCTGGCTTCAAATGATAAAATCATGAGAAAACAGGGTTGATAAATCAAATAAATAAATATATATCTGTGAAGCAGAATACTTTGTATCTAAGCTATCATATTATTAATTTGACGCATTTTTTCATGAACTATTCATAATAATTTATTTGATTCTAATAAATAGCAGGTATTTATTGTCAATATATAATTCAGGATTTTATATCTACTTTAATATTACATATCATTGCTTACTATCGATTACTTTGTATCCTTGTTGTCCTAATAAATTTAAAATATAATTATATAATCTATCCTGTAATTAGTTTTTCTTTCTACCTATCCAATTGTATGGAATATAATATTCTTCATATTTATTATTATAAAAGTAACTAAGCATTTGTGGGTTATTACATCTTTTATACATTGCAATTTTCTCAGCTCTTCACTGATTGAATTGATCTTGAGTTTGGGAATTTTTCACTTTACAAGTAGTTAAACCTAGAAATTTTTTATCATCAGAAGTACCATCATTTCTCATTGCATTTCAAGTTTGGGTTGCTAATGATTCAGGTCTATTCTTATAATTTCAATAAGCTATTTGTATAATTCTTGCTTTTCCAAAATCAGTCTTTGGCTTATTACATTCGTGATCCCAATGTTTCTGCATCAGATCTTTAGGTTCGAGACAATCAACATACCTCTGTCTAGTAAAATGGAATAATTTTTTAGGATTCACATTATCGATTTTTATGAGTTTCCAGCAACCAAAACAAATAGCCATATGACTTTTATGAATCTTTGATCTGTAGTAATTGAAATTGACAAATTTACCTTTACCAAATGACATAAATAAACAATATCGATGATATACACTAAATTTTCCAGCGGTTAATAAATCTTGTAATGGAATTCTTACTCGTATTGCCCATTGAACCGGTGTTTCATTCTGTTTTATGATAGACAATGTATCAAATAATCTCTCATTAAGCATTGTCAAGATTCTTTGGATCTCCGCTGTAAAGTTTTCGTCGCGTGAGGTAAGTTCAGCGTTAAATTCGGCACGACAATCGGCATCGCGATTGGCAATAATTTCATTAAATGTCGTATCACGTGTAGAAGGGTCGGAATTATGCTTGATGTCGATGTCTTGCTTGGTGATGCGTGAAAATAGGCTCTTAGAGCCATTACTTCGTAATAAAACGTGGCACCAATGAGCAAGTAAATGGAGATTTTCTGGACGAACATCAATAGGCCGGCGAAATCCAAAAATGGAGCGATCCCCGAAACTTCAAGTGATGTCATCTATAAGTGAGAGTTAGTCTATTAGCATACATACACGAATGCAGAGAAAGTGTCATAGCATAAACAAACCTTGATCGTTAGAAATTAGATACATTTTCAAGTGTATGAATCTTTTTATTTATCGAGGGTAAGATTTATTAGCGGAGCTCACAAGGCTAAAATTTGTTAAATGTTTTATTCTCCAAATCGTCTCACGGAGTGAGGATGCTATCGCATCTAATTATTATAACGAAGGAGTAAAGGGTCTCAGATATTTTTTCTCCGCCTTTTTATATAAAAAATTACAGATCAAAATTTATTTATAGACTTGGATGGGAACGGACGAGAAATTGCCAGAACTTTTATTGCAAAGCAGGCCTATAGGGACGACTCAGGTACGTAAGTATCATTTTTCAAAATAAAAATCATGGGTAACACACTTTACGTCAATTTTTACTACAATGAAATATGACATTAGTATTAATATCACCATCTCCGATAATAATTCCAAACGTGGGTATTAACCTCCGTGAATTCAAATAATCAATCAAACTTGTAACTAACCTAATTAATAATCTCACTTTCGATCTGTGTTCTTAAATGAACGGAAGTAGCTAAACAATTCGCTGGATATGTAACTAACCAATCGCAAAAATAATAGTGTTAATATTCCTTCCGGGGTATATATGATGAAATGCCATTCCATGACTAAAAATAAATTCACATTAGCGAGGGGAAAATCACGTGCGCGTTCCGAAAAGGAACACTGCCAAAGCAAGTTAAGTATAGGACGAGAAGATGATTTTGGATACATATTTACAATGAATGTACTGTGAATTTATTTGCAAATGATCGATTATTTTTTTTTTGACATTTGTTGGTAACACAACATAAAAGCTAAACTAATTTCCATTTAGTGAATTAAATCAACAGCTCAGCATTTGGTAATCCTGGACATGGCGACGCAGGATATGATCTTCTAATATTATTCACTTTAGTGCATAATTTCATTTTCTTTGGAGTAGACATACACGCAGATAACTTATGTTGACTCTCGTCTCGAGGTCGTTTTCGGAGCCCGACACTCTTAAATGATTTTGTAGCCTGTCCTCCTGTTTGAACCATCTTTACCGTCTCTTGGACTACAGACTAACATTTACAAATATGTCAACTTTGTATAATAAAACATAGAACGAAAAGCATGAATCTAACCTTTGCATTCAGAACAGATGCCAGGATCGTTAAAACGGAATCAAATTTTTCTACTGTGTCGGGGACTTCCATCAGATCGCAACGCCGAAACCTGCAGATGTAACCTTTAGGGTTGTCAGCATATACTATTGTCATCGTGAGGCCTATTACAGAATTAATGTATTGATTAAGTTACAAGCATTTGAAAAATAAGTCGCAAGTTCAGGCACATACCTGCATGAATAATGCCTATTGTTTGTATTTGTTTGCGCACCTCTTCGTTCCACTTTATTCTTTCCATCAGATTTACTAACATGTCTTTGAGCGTCTTGGGGAGTTTTAACCCAATTTCTCTAATGTACTTTGTGCCATGTTCGTCAACCCAATCCTTACCCGCCTCCCCAGCCCCAAACTCATCTTTTTTGCCGTTACCAACAGCCCTGAGAATCCAATCCCCTCTGCGACCGATTTTACGCCGTTCCTCTGATTTCCTTTTTTTATTTTTTCGTGTCGCAGTTGATATGCTTGTGCTTTCGCCCCTTGATTATAAAAAACCTAGTCAGATCAAAAGAAGTTACTTTTTAAAGATAAAAAAATTTACCTGACTACAGCTATCGCCCTTATGTCTCCGAATGCTTGATCAAACACTACACTCCATACATGGCAGTTATACCAATTCTCGAGATTCGTGTCCTTGATACTACCGTTTTGTATTTCCCTCACCCTGTAGGCAGTTTTCAGTCAATTCACCATTGGCACATAAATTTTAACAAAATCATAGAACAAAAATAAAATAAAAAGAATACTTACAATGAATGCAAAGCAAGACATATATAATCCAGGTCATGGTGTTTCTCATGGTCATAGTCATTACCAAAACTTGATTCTTTTATTATTTGACGGATTTCATTTAAGTTCGTCTACAACAAAAGAGAAAGAACCTGTGGCTTATTTGCGATACACATATACAGGTAAATGAAATATTTCTTACCTTGCCAAGGAATTTATTTAGAAACTCATCAATTTCATTCGAGAGCTCTGGTACTTCTGGAATAGATGTGTTGTCTATCTCTCGAAGTTCTGTCTCTGTAAAATGTTCCATAATCAATTCATCTTCAACATCGAGGATAAACGAATGAACGGCGCTAGGGAATAACAATTTAGTACAATTGTGCCTACGCTCCTAAACAAACATAATTACATGCATGAATACAAACTGCTCGAACTCTAATCTTTTCCCCAGCTTATATAATTCTTCTTCTACGAATTTTCCAGATGAGAGTTTCCACATATATTGCTTGTCCATTAAGTTATAAGCTGTGTCAATTTCCCTTCGATTGGCCTCGCTCAGTCTAAGTGGTCCCGTCTAAATGGCAAGAACATAAATTCTTATCAGTATTTAGTATACACAAAAAAACCGAAACCAGAAGTCTAATGAGATTTACTTTGTTTGTCTTCACATCATTGGTCGCCTCCTTCACCTCTTCTTGATCATCAATCGCCTCCTTCAAGAGTAGATGTGGTGAGGATTGTAAACATTTATAAGCTAACAACATATGCCAGATATAATTTACCTCATTATCTGCTGTATCTAAATCCGAATCGGCATCATCTTGTAATTCATGATCGGTCTAAGAAAGATTTCCACAATTAGCAATTATTTGAATAGTAATAAATGAGCATAATGTGGATATTACCTCGTTGCCCGTTTCGTTGGAAATATCTTGTTCAATTTCCGATTTCCGCAAAAACAGATTGGATGATTGTCGTTCGGAAGGACTTTGGAAGAAGTTGTCGATCTCGTTATTTAAATCCTACATAAATATAAGGGACAACATTAAAATAAATTTGCAATTTAAACATTAGCTATTTCTGCTGATCCTCACGACTTCTAGCTAACAAAATATATCGTACTTTTTCCCGATCTCTTTTTGATTCGGATGTTCCAGCAATGAACCCATTTATATTTCCAACTCTTCCGATTGTTCCGTTGTTTACAGCCCCATTGATCGTCCCATCTACAAACATCGGCTAATGGAGATGGAGCACACGAGAGCGTTCTCTTTCCCATTTTTTTGCTATTTTACCATCGGATCCCTAACATGAACGAGAAATTAGTAATATTCTGACTAATAGACCTAAACCAAATTTGATTTTTCCATCCCATTCAAACATCAACTAAACCTAAAGATTAACTGTGCCCTCATGGGTCCAGCACTGGCTCGACCTAAAGACTTGAAACATCAGGCGAACCTAAAGATCACCTGTGCCCCAGCACTGGTTTGGTGGCTCGACCTAAAGACTTGAATGACAAAGAAACCTGAAGATTCCCTGCCACGCCACTTACTCTATCTACATTAAATAAAAAAAGAACTTCTACTTGCCTCCCTATAATCATTCAGGAGAAGTTGTGCCCTTTCTTGCCTCTTCCCTTGTTCATTGTCATTGATGGTCTCGAGACTTTTTAAATACAAACCAATCTTCAACTGAAACGGTTCCTCCTTACTTTCGTTTAAAAACTCGGTAATGTTCCATTCTGTACATTTTCGCTTAAAATAATCGTGTATTTTGGGACGAGACATTTTTACTGACTTCAGACATCATGGGCAGACATTCATATGATTGGCTAATTTTTGTAGATCTACCCGTGATTTTTCATGATAATTAACCAATCAAAATTTATAATTTTAACTGAGTAATATACTGTAATTATTAACTGTAATTATTATATAATGAATAAAATTTTATTTAAATAAATAAATATTGTTTTAGCACATTTTAAACTTCCAAATTGCCTCTTCTAATACAAATAGTTTATATTCTACTGATTCCGTTTCTTCATTATCATCAGAAGAAATATTATTCTTTGATTTTTTCTTTTTTTTCTTATTCAAATCCTGTAAACTTTCAAGTAAAGACTGAACATGTTGATCAACTCCATCTTGTAAAAATGTAAGATAATATAAATACTTAAAATTATTACTGGCATAGCAGGATTCATGATAAGAATAACCACAAACTAGAATTCTAATTGGATTTGGATTAATAGAAAAAAAAATAAGATAATTAGTTAAATTGCAATAATAAAATGAATCAGATTTATGTAAAATATTGAAACCTAAAGAAAGATGAGATAATATACTTCTAGTATTTTCATCACAATTAAAGAAATAGATTTCTCAGATTTTTCTTTTGCCTTTCCTTTTTTTTTTAAAGATGAATCTATGGTAGATGATGAAAATATTAATGGTGATTTATAATAAAATACACATATATATATTTCAAAAAAACAATGCAAAAGGAAACATGCATATTTTTTTGTTAAGTTAGAAATATCTTATGCAGAATACTCATATGCTACCCATATAGAAGTATGAATAAAATTTTTCTTAAATCTATTATCATCCAGATGTAATTGATTAATATAATGGCTATAATTAATGATCTGCTTGACTTTAGTATATTTCTAAGTACTTTTACGCAAAAAATTATGAAATATTTCAATAGTCGCATCTGAAAATTTGGGAAGTTCAGTCTTAATTACTTCAAAAATTAAATGATTAATTGATTCCTAATAGAAAATATCAGAAAGAAATATTAATGATATCTTCATATAGTTTTTATGACTAAATCTAAAAAATAATATCCAAATATGAAAGCAAGATTTAAGATAAGTATTAAAATCTCCAGATCTAAAAAATATCACATAAATATCTAAAACAAGAGGAATTATATTATCAAAAAGATTCTTGAGGGCAAGATACTTGGTATCTTTACATAGAGATCCAAACTTTTCTTCAATCATTTTCAAAATTTCTTGCCAAGTACTATGAAAAATTTTTAAAAGGAGATTAATATGCCATGACTTGGAAGTTTGAGCAAGAGACTTTTGTGATCCAAAAATATACTTATATATCTCTACAAAAAAAGATTGATATTGAAGAAAAATCAATTCTCAGCTATTTAATAAAATATGAAGAGATCTTATAATTGGAAGAAAAGATAAAATATTAGTAATATTTGATAAGTCTTTATAAATCAAATAGCATGATATTGTTATTCTAAGATGAATTTGCCCAGACCAGTCAGCAACAAGAGGAATCATATGCCCTTTTTCAATATACTATCATATAGATAGGATACTTATAACAATATTAATAGCTTTGATATATTCATCTATCATATAAAGTTGATTTTCTTGTAAATCTATAAGAATAACATCTTTCATTGAATAACTATAATACTTCTCTTATAACTGGATATCATAACTATATACAGTTAACTCTTCTAATCTTGTACTATTATCAACTGTGCAAAACTCTTAACATTAATTATATAAAAGATTATAAGATATTATAAATCAATTACCTATATTAAATTTAATTAAATTAGCATCAACTAATAAAGAGTTATGTATATTTTCTTGAGAAATAGTCATCTGATTAGTAATTGAATTCATTAATATTATAACCAAATATATTATTATAGATGTAATGATTATGTTAGGTATTTGTGAGATATGAATACTATGATAATTATCTATATTTAACACCATTACTTTTTCTATATATCTAGCAAGTGCCAAATCAATAACTTTAGCATGTTCTTCAGATACATTGATCTTATACCATATAATTGAATGAGATATAATAATTATACCTAATTCTATAAGTATATCTATAATAGTATCAGAAATATCAGTTGAATCTAAATATAAAGATAAATCTCTTTTAATATTATTCATGAACTTATTTCTTATTTTATAAAGAAAATAATATATAAATAGAAGTTACTTTTTTACTTGTATTTTTATTTCTTTATTTTTTAATTATGAATTTGATGAAAGATATAACTTATCAAAAAAATTTTTTTAATCTTGTATTCTTCTCTTTCATGATTATTCAAAATTTGTCAAATAAATATATTGATAATTCTTTCTTTTTATTTTCATGATTATATAAAATTTTTATTAGTATTTCTATTATTTTAAAAAAAGATAAATAAGAATCATAAAATTCATTAGTCTTATTAGTTTCAGATTATTTTACTTCTGGCTTATCAGTTTCAGATCATCTTGCATATTCTTGAAACTTAGCTGATCTATTAGTCATGATCTTATTATAATAATCTAGACAAATCATATCATCTACTTAAAGATAAAAAGATAAAGTATTATTAGTTTATTCTTTCTTAATTAAGTTTTTAGTTACTGCTTTTCAGTTAGTTAATTTTTTTTGCATATGGCAATCACGTATAGTCCTATTAATAGCATTTTTATCTTCTAAGCAAAGTCAGTTAAATTACAAATTATTTTGAGATTATTTTTTTCAGTAAATATTAATATTTATTTAAAATAAAAAATAGTCTTTGTGGCAATTTTTTATTAGTAAAATGTTATAATCTTAAAAAGTACTCTAAAGTATATAAATAAGTTATCTGGATAATTGATTTATATTAGTCAATCAGATGAAAATCTAACCATAACTTCAGATATAATTAAAAAAATTTTTTTATGGGTCATACAAATCAGCTATTTTAAAATCACATAATTCTTATCATATAGCAAATTGGAAAATGCTTAAGAATAAAATATATAATACTATCAAAGAGGAAGAAAATATGTAGATTCTAGGCTATTTTAACATAAATTTCAGTATTATTTCTTTGCTCTCTCAAATTTTCGAAAAATATCTATAACTAATTTGTTTCTATATTAATTATTAACTATAAGATTCTCACCTTCATACCCTTTTACTATACTAGATTTCCAAAATAAATTATCCCATTCATATTTACAAAATTTTTATCTATCTATATCTCTTTCAAATATATAAAATATTATTTCTTAAAAGAGAACTTCTCTGAGATTAAGAAATTTCAAATCTAAGTATAAGTTCAGAAGATTAGTAATTGAAGTAAAAAAAATAAGTAATATTTCTAATTATGCTTATCATTATGATTAATTTTTAGAATATTCCAGTCTGTCTCATTCTTAAGAAATAATTTTTTCTTTATCAGTATGATACTGTATATAACAATATTAGCTTAGTTATTAATAATTATAGTATATTTATCTTTTATCTCACAGATTGTTACTGTGCTACATACTGCATCACATATGACTTACTGCACCACAATTATCTGATCATGTCAAGAAAAGTCACTCAATTATTTTGAGTTATTTTAGTTATAAATAGTTTCTTAGTAAAACTTTTCTTTTCTCTTGTTCTATTAATTTAGCTAGTATATTACTAAATTTATATATTTTATTTATAATCATTTATTTCT